TGAAAGATGTCCTTGGTGTAGTTGAAAAGATTTGGATATTCACGTAATAACTTCTTGTTGCACTTGAAATGAACTGCATAAACCTATAAAGTATACAATTTGATTTGGTTAAGTAAATCATATAGGCATGTGAATGCTCAAAAGCTTTTAATGACTGAAAGCTAAAAGGTCAACAAAAGATTTGATAACAAACATGTCTAACAACATCAGATATTCTTTCGTCCAAACTCAGGTTTGCTAGCTTTGCAAAACTTTATTTTACCTGTAATTTGTTATATACCAACAATATCATTAGTTACATGGTTGTGGCACTTGATTGTCTCAATCTGGAATAATAAAATGGTCAAGTGTACAATGGCCTCTAGTACAAGTAAACAAGTCCTGCTTCAGCCTAAACAAACTACAACGCAGCAAGGATTTGGCTTATTCCTGCAAAACCAATTTCATCCTTTCTATTGATATTCAATAGAATGGTTTAAGTTCCCTTGGAAATACAATGATTTTACAACATTACTGGTTGATTTCATGTTGTTCCAGGGATAGGTAAGCTGAATAGAGTTCTGTGGGATGTAGTGGTCATTGAACTAAACTACAGTCAGAATTGTAACTCAGCACTAAATCATTCTGTCAGAGCTTTGTTGAACAAGAAGGATTAGAGAAGTTTAAAGTAAATTGGGGATGTGTTTTTCTGTGTGAAACTGGAAATTTAGTCAAATGGTAGTTTTAGATAATAAGATTCACAGTGAATTCTAGTAGTGTACAACCTCTGATCATGTCATTTGCCAAAGGAAAAAAAAAAAAAAAAGAATAGTTCCTGTGCCAAAGGTCTTACACAGGAAAAGGTACGATGCAAAATAGCTACCATTAGCTTTTTCATTTTGCCAAAACAAACAACAAATAACAAACGAATCATGACGATGACGACAACAATAATAACAATAACAGAATACCACACAAGCAGACTTTGACAATCATTTCCAAGGAAGGAAACTCAAAAGATTTGTGTCTTCTAAAGATAGAAGTGTGTTTAACTCGGTACCCTTGACAAATTGGATTCATGAATTAATGTCTAAATAAATAAGCTTTAGCATGTATACAGACTGAACCATACAAGATAAATCACAGATTGGAAGTGTAAATTTTGTGGAATGCTTTCTGACATTTGAGGTAATGTTATTCTTTCCTAAGCTTCAAAACTGCAAGCATTTGAATACAAAGATCCATACCTCATCAACCATTATTAATGTGACAAACAGATGAATATCTCAAACTGCAAGCATTTGAAGTTAGTAGGATAATCTTCTTTCATACAAAGATCCATACCTCATCAAACCTTATTAATGTGACAAACAGGCGAACATCTGCTTCAGTCACAGTCCCACCACACAGGTATCTCTGCTTATTGAGTATCTCCTCGGCTTTGTCCAAGGCTTCATATAACTTTTTCACTGCCTGCAAAGGTCATAATGGTACGCTATGAAAAAATTATCAACAGAACACATGCAGATTTTGATTTAACTAGGTTTGACACAAAATAGTTAATGGCAACTTAACAACTTACCTCATTGTAAGGTTCTTGCTTCTTTGCAAACCCACACTTATATACTCCATTATTTATATCATCATATATCCACCCATTTATCTCATTGATTTGATCTTGCAAATGAGAAGGGTAAAGGTCCAGTTCTGGATTCTCAGCCAGATGGTTGAACTCTGTATTTAACATTCGGATAATCTCCGAACTCTCATTATTCACAATTGTGTTCAGTTTCTTATCCCAAAGAACCTAATGGAAAACACAAACCTGCAGTCTGAGCTGAGATATTCAGGCAGAGAAAAACCCAGAAAGAATTTCACATTTTATAGAAAATACTTACTGGAACAGTATATTTGCCTGAGTAGTTTGTGCTTGCAATCTCATACAGCTCTCTGGCACTTTTAGCCCCGTTGAAAGGATCGGGATCAGCACCTGCTTCCTCAGAACTTGAAGCAGGAAAAACCCATCCCATGTGCTCATCAGTCTCCTTAGTCCTTTCCCATTTTGGTTTGACAGACTGATAATGGAGTAGTAAAAATATAATTACGGTTAAAACTTGAAAGTTTTTTGAAACAAGAGTTTAAACAACACTTACTGTAAAGCTGATGCATTTGTCCAGCCCTTTGATCATCAAGTACGCCAGGCATCTGGACGCCCAGGGGCAAGCGTATGATATATATAGGTGATACCTTCCAGCTTCCGCAGGGAAAGGGGAGTTTGGATCTCGTGATATCAAATTGCGGAAGGTTGAAGGAGTTCTGACAAAAGCACCAGTTGCTGACATCTCATCTAGAGCAGAGCGAGCCATCGGTATTGCGTGCTAAAATGCAATATGCTAAGACGTTAATCCCCTAGGAACTTAAACATTGTGAAATTCATATTACAGAAAAGTAAGAGCACCTCCTTATGCTGTGAGATCAATGACTCCTCAAAAACAAGTGGAAATGCCTATGCCAATGGAGTCACAAATCTCAAATTCAAGAAAGAACATATAGATAATTTTGCTGCTCCCAAAGACAAATTTTCTATATTGCTGAAACGCATCAAATGGTCAGGGGGATTAGCCAATCTATCCAACTCCGTAATAAGACAAAGTACAGAAAGCTACTCAAGTTAGGATCAGCAATCTCCCTGCTAGAATAGTTTTGAACAGATTTTATCAGCCACAACACTAAATTTTAATCGGAGGTTGAGCTGATGCAGCTATAATCTCCTGTTTAGAAAACAACTTCTTTTCTTAAAATTTGAGGGACTCAAATAATTAGGCATTGCACAATATCGAAAGTGATAGTACAGATAAGACATTTCAACTTTAAATATTGGACCAACAAAAGGAGGGAAAAAGATTGAAACTTTACTACTTAATTGAAATAGCAGTCAGCATGGCACAAAATTGATTCATCAATTACTGTTTCCTTGCTTTTTCTTCATGTATTTTACCTTTTCATGAGTACCAATAATCAAAATGATCTGTAAGAAAAAGCTAGAAATCCCAGTAGGAAGCAAATTTCATCAAGATTGCAATAACAAAAGGAAATGGTAATCTCCTCAATCTCTCATAGTTGACAATTTTTCAGTTCATATTAACAAAACCTTACCATCTCTGATCAGATCACCACAACAGCAAATACAATTCAAACTCAACAAGAGGAACAAAAGCTACAATTTTGAATGACAAATACAATAACAGAAGTAAATGGATATAAGCCAGTAAAATCTAGCATTAGAAACACAGAAAAAGGAAAGTGGAGAGGGATAAAAGATTAAAATCAAGATGGGTTTTAAGTACCTTGAAGGAAAGCTGTAGAAGACAAAATGGGCGCTGCTGTTTAGCTCCTCCAACTCCAACTGCTGAGTTCAGGAACGTTTGGAGTTTGCAAATGGAAAGAGACATAGCTGAGAAACTGCTTTTGTTGCTTTTTGACTTTTTAACAAGTATTCAAAAGAAAAACCGGATAAGTGCCGGCCTTTCTTTTCTTTTTTTAAATTTGCCAAAGAAAAAACAAATCAGTGGCGGCTTTTTCTTTCTTTCTTTTTTTTTTTTTCCAAATTGCTAATGTGGGGTTAGTTGAGATTCTTTTTGATATTGGCACTTTGATTGTGATGGCTTTTTTTGTTGAATTTTTAATTTTGTGATAAGTTATAATAGTAGTACTCTTATTTTTCGTTCTAATTACAACAAAAAAAAAGAAAAATAAAAGTGTATTAGTTGTAGTTGCAACGAAGAATTTGGATACTAATGATAGTGTATTTGGATAGTAAATTATTTGAAATAATTTTTTTTAAAAAAATACTGTAATACTTTTTTGATGTGATATATTTAAAATAAAAAAATGATTGAAAAATGTACTGATGATGATATTAGCAAATAAATTTTAACAAATAAAACAGTGCCCAAACAATAATGTGAATTCCTTGCTGCTATTCTTGAAAGGCAAAGATTTGGCAATGAAGATAAAGCCTCAGTGTTGGAATGAGTTCATGTCTAACATGGGTGGTTGCTTCTTACAAGTTCTTTAATGTTTGATCATTTGGATTTTGGAAGTTTAGCTAAACCAATCTTATTCATGATTAACTACCTCTATGATCTAGCTAATTTTTTGGAAAAGTGCTCCAATGAATTCTTATCATGGAAAGACTCCAAATCTCCACAAGTTTGATACATATACAAAATGATATTTAGAAAGTTCAACGGATCAAAAAAAGAAAATCAACTGTGACAATATGAATGGAATCAAGAGGATTATTAAAAAAGAACAAAAAATAAAGGGTACTTTCATGCTTTTGTCTATTATTCTTTAGTCATGATTTAAGCAAATTGCATTTGATTCTCATATGATGTTAGAACGGAGTTAAAGTCAACATGATACTGCTAATTTATGTCTTCATATTATTTGAACAGCAGCATGCAGCATGCTAGTATTTCATATGCATATAAATCTTATACACACTAATAATGTAACTCACTCACATCTTTTCAAATCCAAAATCAAATTAGGAGTCAAGCATCCAAGATTGACGTTATATACATTGTCAGTCTAAAAAATTAGACCCTACTCGAGGTTGTTGTGGTTTATAAAGAATACTTTTCACATAAGCGTTTCTAATAAAAGTGCTTTTAGATTGCCAAAAGTTGAGCCTCTTAAGTTACGAAAAATTGGTTACCAAACACTTTAAAAGTACTTTTGATACTTAAGAGCGTTTTTTTTTTTAATTTTGGAAACGGGTCTAATTCAAATTTTATTACATTTAAAAAAAATTTCAATGTGTAGATGCCCCTTGATATCTAGTCTAGTTGTAAATTGAGCTTTCAATTCCATCACTCAAATACTCTAAACCACTGATTTGTCTTGCGTTAGCCCAACCATAAGATGGTGAGTAAACGAACGTTTGCTTTGGTTGGAAGGATCAAGGGAGAAAAAGATGCTTACAACATTAGAAGAAACGAAGAAAGAAAAAATGATCGCCTTTAATCAAACTCAAGGCTTAAGATTTCATGTTATGTCTGTTCGAATATGCAAACTGCAGACACTAATGTGAACCAACTTTAGTAATATTTATTTCTATTAGTATTTGCTCAAATAAATTATCAATTGCAGGTCTCATCCTCTGATCTTTGCTACAGCAATTATGTTTCCAGACACAATACTAAAATAATCCTCGAGTGCAGACTTCAGATTGTTCTTCATGTAAATTGTTGCCACTAGACCTTGGAGATTATGCAGTAGCAACACTAACTTCCATTTGTGAACATGATACCAGTCATTACTTCGACTGAGCATCTTTTTGCAAGTTTCTCATTCCAATTATCCTGCCTAAAACCGAAACATGATTCCAAGCAAACTCAGCATCGTCAACCAATTTCAAAGGGTACTGAAATATTTCCATAGATATGAAATTGACGCAGGAACTTTTGTCGCAAACTGATGCTGCGTCTTCATTTTCCACTGCATCCATCTCTCAAGATTCAAGCCGTAACATTCGCATGTCAAGAACTACGGTTGTAGTCCTTTTGAGGATCTTAAACTTAAAGCAGTATGACTCTTGGTATGTAGGGGCTCAAATTCCTGCTTATCAAAGTTAAGCCGATAAATGTCAGACAAACATTGAAGGTAACAGCACAACCAAGAAGGGAAAGTGTTTTAATCCGTCAGTCAGGTAGAATAACTCAATTTGAGACACGCTTACGAAGTACATCAAATTATGTTAAACCTTTCTTAGAAAGATTTCGAGAAATTAGCAACAAAGTGGAAAGGGCAAACCTCATATTTCTGGTCCATCAATCTGACATCAGTTGATCAAATAATAACATCTTCAGCCTGCATAGAACGAGGATTTCAAGTCTCAATATTATGAGTGGGTCTGTCTGAAACTTGGATTAACTCAAAATAAAAAACGAGAAGACTTGAAACCCTGATATTTACAAGAAAAGTGCCTGCAATAGATACTTAGTGGTTAATTACTAACTTAGACATCTGTTTTGCACAATCAACTACAATGAATGAAGCATTGTTGAATGTACAACAAAAATCTTGTGAAGCACCAAGGAGCCATTACAGTCCTCATAAAGCAGGACGCCTCGATGGGAAAAGTTAACCTGGGAGAATGGCATTTTTATTTAGGATGGACACAAGATACAAGGAACAGAGAGAGAGAGAGGGAGGGAGAGAGGAACCTTAACTTCATGTGAGCGTAAACTTTTTAAAAGTACACACGATAATTTGATTCAATTCAAGTATTTGAAAAAACTGAATTGAACTCTTCAATCAAGCTTCTTAGTTACTAGCACTGTCTCCCAATTTTCCTGTAACCACAAAAATTAGAGAATTTAACCACCTGCAGAGTAATCAGGTTTATCACAGACAGCCTCTATTATGTCCTATTTATCCATAGAACTAGAAGAAAGACAAGAGATGAAATCGAAATTACATCAAAATCAGATTAGTCACGACTAGATTGAACATGGCACTAACTTTTAAAGTTCCACAACCAGGTTTCACAGGCTTCAAAATGAAGGAAATATCAGAAAGTTCATACCGCATCAATCGATGCAATCATAGAATGAAAGGTTCAAAGAACTTATGGATGTTGCTTACATTTTCCAGTCATCCAAAAGGTGTCTGGCATCCAAAAACTCCAGTATGTAGTTTCAGTCCCTCTAAGGAAAGCAGAAGCTTTCATGCTGGATATTCCAATCCATGGCTAGAGAAAGCAACAGCTCAATCGAAAAAACCACTTTTGACTTTTTCACCGTTTTGCTGTTCTTAATTGCCAGAGATGGGTAACATCATCTAATAGATTCTCCTGCAATAAGTTTGAGTAAACCATCTTCAGACACACATGTTACAATGAACAAGCAATCCGAAATGCAAAACAATGAAAATCATCTTAATTAAATGCTGCAAATATAAACAAGTAACCTTTTTGCTTCGATATCTTGTCAGAGACATTTGCAACTAGGGCATAATTGTTGCTATTATAACAAGCAGTCATGAATGCCGCAAGAGTTACACGGTCCACATTCTGGTGTTTATTCAATAACTTGTCAAAAAACTGCACAGCTATATCCACCTTCTTTTCACCACATAGCTTTCTGACTAAGGTGCTCACAGTGCGAACCCATAGCTTTTTTTCTAGTTTGTCCAATAGGGCCATAGCAACAGACGATTCATCCTTCATGCAAAATTCATAAGCCATCGTCAGCCGAGTAACTTCACATGGGGAAAGCCCCATATCTATCATTGTCTCATATAGCCTTCTAGCCTCATCCAATTTGGACTCCTTGCAAAGTCCACTTATCATGGCACCATAAGTAAGACTATCAGGAGCACAGCCATGTTCATTCATATTTTGAAAACATTTCAAGGCCATGCTAGCATTTTTATCTCTGAAATATCCAGATATCATAGTTGTATAAGTTTGTTTAGTCGGAACCAGGCCAAGCTTGATGAAAGCATCATCGAAAAGCTTTTCACTTTCTGCCATTCTGTTTTCTTTGCAGAGAGCACAAATCAAGGTAGTGTACACATGCGCATCAGGCATTATACCTGCTTTTACCATCTTATTAAACAGTGCTAATGCTTGCCTTAAGTCTGCTTGCTTGCAACTTTCTGAAATGAGAATAGTATATGTAACTATATCAGCAGAAAGTCCATTTCTGAAACCTCTTTTGAGCAATTTATGAGCCTTACTAACCTTTCCCTTCTTAATAAGACAATTGATAACTGTATTATAGGTGCAAATATTAGGAGCTAGACCAGCTCTACGAATTGTGTTCATCAACTCATACGCACGGCCTATATTCCCCATCTTACAGTATCCATCAATAAGAGTGGAGTATGTATTGACATTAGGAGTTAATCCCTGCTCTTGCATTCTGCTCAACAGCATCTCAGCTCGGTTTAACTTTTCTTCTTTGCAGTACCCCGCAATCATAGCTGTATAAGTATGCACATTTGGCTTGTAATTATCGCTTCTAACAAGCTTCAAGAAAAGCCTAAATGCTTTATCAGTCCATCCCTTTTTACAAAGACCATCAATCAAAATACTATGGGTATATACATTTGGTTTCCAACCCTTTCGAACCATTTCCTCCAAAAATTCAAATGCTTGCCTAATACTGCCCCTCTTGCATAATCCATTGATCAAACTAGTAAAATTTATCAGATTTGGAGCAAATCCTACATCAACCAACTTATTAAAAATCCACAGTGCTCTACTCACATAACCCTTTTCACAGAACACACTCGTAATCAAAGTACAAGTTGCATTGTCCACAAGACAACCCCTGTCCAGCATTGAAACCAGCCACCTATTCGCTTCCAGAACTCTGCCCATCCTGCAATAACCAACAACCATGGTTTCAAAAGTGCAAGCATTCGGACAAACCCCTCTTTCAGACATTTCATCAAACACATCCTCAGCCACATCATCGCACCCCATCTCAACAGCAACACCTAGGACACAATTCAGAGTATGAACACTGAGAACCAAGCCTTGATTTTGCATCTCAAGCACCATGTCGACAGCCTCCTTTAGCATCCCGATCTCACCAAAATTCTTGACCATACAATGCATCACTTCATTGGCTCTCACAAAGTTCCCATTTTTCATCAAACACATAGCTAAAACAATGTAAAACCTCATAAAATGCCTGAATTTCGAGAAACCAATTGCCCAGTAAAAGAAACTCAGTGCAACCATTGAGCCTGACTCATTAGCCAAAGATGCAGCTATAGTAATGGCCTCTTCTTGGGTTAAAGATTCGGGACTTATAGGCATGTTAAGGTTGGCAAGTACTGGCCCGAAATGGGATTTTTGCTTCTGTTGAAAAAATGATTCCTGGACTAACGAGCTGACTGTTTTCACAACTGGCTGGGAATTCGAAATGGGATCGGTGGCAGATTGGCAGAAGTGTCTTAATTTGAGTAAAGAATAGAGGGGTTTGGTGAGGAAAGCACGATATCTCCACCACCGGGGAGACATTGCCGCCACCGCCACCACCACAGTTGGATAGTACACAGCCACCTCACACCACCAACGAAAATTGAACTAGTCTAATAATGGAGGTTTTAGACTGAAAATAAACATGCTTTCTACCAAAACTCTCTTTTTTTTTTTGTGATAAAATCAAAATGAAAATTTTCAAACCAGTGGTGTATATATTGGAGGGAGTTTTGTAATGTTATTCTAGTTTCTCCTCAGTCCCCTCTACAAAAGAAAGGAGTAATTCTAATTTAGTCATCCAAATTAATAGAAAATCTCAATTGAGTACCCCAAAGCCAAAAAATGTATCAATCTAGTGGAGTACTTCAAAGTGGCAAAACCATTCTAATTCAGTCGTCAACTTCACCGTGTTGACTAATGGTGGTAACTAATTTTCGAGGGACATTTGAGCACATAAAACACTCTAATTTATGTTAATCAAGCTTGATTGAATTCAATTACATTATATGAGATCAAATACGAACTCAAGTTCTCCTAACCTAAATATAAATCAAGTTCAAACTCAATTATTTTAGTTCAAGTGAAGTTCAAGTAGCACTCAAACTCCCGAAGTCTTTTCTCTCCTCTTTCCCCACTCAAAATTAACCACTTCAAGTCCTAATCTAACAGGATCACGAGCACCCGCTTCTCTCGAGTGCCTTTTTTTGAATTTATATTATTCTCTAGGCTCCAAATTCAATAACCATTTCCTTTGTCCAATTGAACCTTGCATTTATGAACCTCAATTGATACTGGCTAATCTCTCTCCATCGCTATCACTTTTGTGTCTAAGAGGCCCAATCCTATTATTCCCTTACACTCTAATTTTGTGAACTGTCTATGTTATTAAGAATTTCTATTTTTGTTTGCTACATATAAGTTTTTGCCTTGGTTTGGTATTGGTTTTACAATATGATAAGGTTATGTTATAGGTTTTGCAAATTTAACATTTGTTGTAAATTTATAAGATGTATTCTCAATTTCTTGCATAGGTTTATGATGGTTTCCAACTTTGATACAAATAATGATTTTGCTCCATTACCATATAAGTTAGTTATGATTTTTTTCTTCTTCTTTTTGTGTAGTTCAATGGTAGTTGTCATGGTGCAATACTACTCACTAGAGGTGAATGATGGTTCATAATTGAAGTAGAAAAAATCGAGAATAAGATAAAAAGAGAAAGCATTAAAAGGCATTGTAGGTAATTAGGGTTGCAACACGAGCGGCTCGAATCCGAGTTTTAATGAACATCCAGCTCAAATTGAATTCGAACTGGTCAAGTCGAATTCGATCTCAAAAATACTAAACTTGTTAGCTCGCGAGCTATCTCGAATTCAATTATATATATATTTTTTATTTTTCAATAATAAAATTACATATATATCCATAATATTTTATTATTTGTTTAAAATTTATTATTTTATTCATTTTTAAAAAATTAAAAAATTATTTTTTTTATCGAGCTCGAACTTGACATTCTGAGCTCGTCGAACTCATGCTCTCGAGGTCGAGCTCGAGTTTCATAAAATTATGTTGAGATTCGACTCGATTAAGTCAAAACTTGACTCGACTTGGATCGTTTGCAACTTGGAGGTAACACATATCATTATTTGTAGGGTTATCATTGTCCTTCCAATCAAAAACTACTTGTCATATTAATTTAAATTGGATTGATGTGCCAAAAATTGCTGCATAACCACATGAGGTAGTGAATTGCGACAATTGATAATATGGGGGGCAAATCACTAACCGAACATAGTTTCGAGGTGCATTTTGCATTTAACCTAAACATAATTTGAATTCTACAAAAATATATATTGTTATTAGTTGCTCACACAAAAATATAAATAATGAAAATTTGTGAGATTTTAGTCAGACAAATTGCTCTTTCGCATCAGTGTACACAACCTTCGCTGCCACATTTCCCTCTAGCGTGGCCGGAGAAATCTTGTCACGTTTTCAGCGGTGAAATTTGCTTCTGTTCCGCTCCATCTCCCGGCCATGTGTCTTTCTAAAATGGCGGCTATGGCAGCCATAGTTTCAGGTGCAAAAACACACTCAATATCACCACTTCTAAGAAGGCACCTCTCGTCCCTTTTTCACCCTCTTTCTCCTGCAGCTCCGCTACTATCGCAACGGCAGATGTTTCTGGGCGGGGTCAGGAGAACCCAGATGGCCCAGCAATTTGTAAGGTTCACCCATGACGGTAGGCCAAGAGGGTCTCTTTGGAGAGGCAAGAAAATGATCGGCAAAGAAGCTCTGTTTGTGATATTGGGCTTGAAGAAATTCAAAGAGGACGATGAAAAGCTTGAAAAGTTCGTCAAAAATCACGTCCTGAGGCTTCTGAAGATGGACATGGTCGCTGTTCTCAATGAACTTGAACGCCAGCAAGAGGTCTCTCTAGCAATCAAGGTATTTGATTAATTGCTCCAATGTAGTTTGTAACGTTAATTTGGAATTCTGAATATACATTGCAATGCTGCCTTTTTGGAACTAAGTTTGTGTAGTGGTGGTACTTGTTGCTTTAGCAGCTGTACATTGCAGCTTTCCTTCAGGATTGTAGTTTCCCAAATCACGAGCAGTGGTTGACTGTTTTGGTTATTCGGATAATATCTCTCCAAATTTGATTGGTGGTGTTTTGCTGATTTTTGTCCGCAGTAAAGAATATATAGGTCATTAAGCTGAAGTGGTAAAAGTTTACATGACTTGTGTACTTTGGCTTATTCTTGGAAAACAATCAAACAGTATACTTGAAATGGTGGAAGAAAGATGTGATTTGTCAAAATCATCTGAGATAGATGTTCGTTAAGAGTGATTGTATAGCAACCTTGAATACCGTTAAGATATTTTTTAAAATATTGAAGCATTTTAGTAAGTAAAAGCAGATTTGGATTTGAAGGTGACTATATACCTTAAGAGAATAGATACATTAAAGCGAGAGGTTGAAAAGCTTATTCTCAAATGTTGTATCAATAAGAAACGTGCTTTGGGATCGATTATCCATTCGGTGCTTAAGTTGAGAAAATTCACCAAATATTTCACATCTGCAGCCTGCAATACATGTGCTCGCATATTCCTCAGCCGTCCATAGTTGCCATGCTTCTGCATTGGAGTGTTTCATGGAGTAGAACCCATTTCATGTTATCGCAAAGGGTTTTGGAATTGCATGCATTGTCTTGCTGCACACAAATTGTTTTGCATGGCTATCACACTTTGAGATTAACTTCCTCACCAAGGTTACACAAATTCAAATCACTTGTAGTATGAAAGATTGATTATTTATTTAAAGATTTTCTCACCCTAAATAAAACTAATTAACTTTCATTGCAGATATCAAAAACCATCCAAAAGCTTTTAGATTCTTTTTCGACTACAAGTATGTCCTTGGTTTTAGCAGTAAGGTTTTGACCTAGATTTTGTGAAACTTTTATTTGGAAATCATTCATTTGATTCACCTAATTGTTCTTGCATGCATATTGCAGCTGTACAATGCATGTGTGGACAGGAATAAATATGGTTTTCTGCACATTGAGCTTCTCTTAAATTGCTTTGACCACATGAATTTTTAATATGATACCGCCTTGGTCTCATTCTTTCTGTTGGTCCAAGTCTGCAAAGTAGTGAGTCATGCAATGGTGGCAAAAATCTTTAAGGAATATGAAACAAAACGATGCTAAGAGACAAGCAAAGTTATTAATCTTTGGGGTTAAAGTGGTTTTTAAAGATTCAAAGAAAAACTGAGAGCATTTGACACCTAATAGTATTTTGGTCAATATTTCTTCTAAGGATGACTCTTAGAATTTTGGGACCAGGGAGTGTCATAAATAAGAAACCCACTGCACATTGTGTTTTATCAGCTACCTGTTTTGGGTAGAAAAGCTTTAATTGCTTTTTTATAAAGGAAAAAGAAATTGATTTTCCTCATAATTGATCCTGGTTTTATCATTTAGTGGTGAAAGCATGAGAAACTGTTTCAGCTAAATGCAGTCTTGGGCATTTTTCTGAATGCTTGCTTGTTATATTTGTCAAATATGATTAAATATGATCCATACCATTTTTCAGATATTTAGGGTGATTCAGAAGCAAGACTGGTATAAGCCTGATGTCTATCTGTACAAGGATTTAATCATTGCATTGGCTAGAAGCAGAAAGATGGAAGAAGCAATGGAGCTATGGGAAAGCATGAGAAAGGAGGACCTGTTTCCTGATTCTCAGACATACACTGAAGTCATTCGAGGTTTCTTGAGATATGGATCTCCTGCTGATGCAATGAACATTTATGAGGACATGAAGAAGTCTCCAGAGCCACCAGAAGAATTGCCTTTCAGGATTTTGTTGAAAGGGCTGCTGCCGCATCCCCTCTTGCGGAACAGAGTCAAGCAAGATTTTGAGGAAATATTTCCTGACAGACATATTTATGATCCTCCTGAAGAGATATTTGGACTTCGTTGAGGTTTGTACTTAAACTTCTTTTGGTGCATTTTTCCTTTGCTTTTAACAGTTTTCACTTGTTTCATATATAGATGTACAGATTTGTATATTTAAGTATATGTATGAAAATTTAGCATAATGTATGGAAGCTGTGAAGCTTCTTTTTTTTCACTGTCCTTGAAACAAATGTCAGAGCTGAAATCAGAAATGAGATGCTTCTCCAGATGTCCTTGTAACTACCTCTTCTTGTCTTGTTTGTGGTTGTGTTCGTCATATGAAGTCATCATAGATTCATTACTTATTGAATCTTTAATGATTCAACTGTAGTAGCATTCTAGTTGGCCAAGAAAAATGGTTTTTGTCATCTCTAGCTTATTGAAACAGTCACCTGAGCTTCTGATTGTTTTCATTTCTGGTTATCAAATTATTCTTCAATGGATCATGTGTGATATATATGTGGGATCACACACACAGATGTATCCATATACTTTGATGCCAGTGCACACACATGATCAGTGATTTAAAGGGCATTCTAAGGCATGTCTAGAGGCAAGGCGTGAAAATGCCTCAGGGTGTTGGGGTAGCATAAGAATTGCTATGGGAGTACATTAGAAAATTCATCTTCTTTATGCATGGGATCAACTACTGTGGTGTGATCTCTCTAATTTATGGTTGTCATTCCTGGTCAGTCAATGCCAGAGTGCGTATATTGAGACATTTAGGCTAAAGATAGTTTTGACAGGTGAAGTTTGAATGATTGACCCCCCATGTTTTGACAAGTTTTCTCATTTTTACTGTATCTAATTTTTTTCTGTTGTGATCTGTAGCTTGTTTTCAATATTGCCAAAAATTTGAACTCCCCTCATGCTTGGAAATCTTGAGTAATTAAGGTTCCTTTAAGTTTAGTTACTTTTTTATTCTGTAAGTATATTAAGATTTTGCACTTTTAGCGGGTCTTGATTACATATCATACTGTCTAATGTAATATACATTTATTAGATCAACGAAGAAATCATTTAAACTTCATGGACCTGATGCCCCAAATTGCAGGGTTTTCGCCTTGACCAACAACCTCTGCCTCTTAAAACATTGGATATAACTCTTAAATGGAGGTCTAGATTAATGTCACTCGACTAATAAGATTGTATGGCTAATCTTATGCATGTGGCATATAACTATTCACTTTTGTATGTAAAAAATTACACGTGGTCATCAAATGTGCATATAGCCATTGCAAGAAGGTATAGTTTGATGTCATATCATCAATAATAAGCTTCTAAGATTTTCTGAGCCAAAATAAGTAAATAAATAAATAAAACTCCTTAGTGATCTTTATACACGTGGATTGAATTTGATTCATGACAGGTTGTCGAAGCCTGTGCAATAATAAAACCTGCTCAAACTAAAAGTGATTTCTGTAGATAGCAGTAAGCAGGGTCGAATCCACAGGGACTGGGAGTACTTATTTCTTTTCAAGTTCACAGTGACAAGGGGGTGTTTTTATGCAGAAGATGGCAAACAAAGAAAATCTAAGAAGCTACTAAAAATTAAATAACAATCTACCAAAATCAAATGAGTGAGAATTAAGGATCTAGCCAAGAGGTAACTTCAGCAATGGTTCACCTAATTGATCATCGATAAGCAGAGGCAATTCCAATTATTTACTAATAAATAGGTTATAACTGCCAAACAAGCGATGACAATCAACCCCTCCTTACTGTGTCGATGATTAAGGTACGCCCGTTAATCACTGCTCTAATTGAGAAATAATCCTAGGTACGCCCATAGAATTTAATTCCCCAATTGCCTTACGTATTAGAGGAGCCCTATTCTAATCAAATAACGCACTACCAGGGTTATTTTAGATTAGCCCGCGTATCCCCCTGACACGAATCTAATCGTGCCAGTTGTCACTATTTTGAGGTAATTAAACAATTACGGATTTAATACCCCAGTTGATAATAGATTACCCAACCAATTAATTATCCGGATCCAAGACAACCAATTAATTAAACAATCATAAGCATAGCAAACAGGGAATAAGCGGATACCAATAAATAAAAGGGAAAAATTAAATTAAAACGATCTCACAATTTTAGGTGAATCAAAGCATCCGTTGTCCTTTGACTAGAGTTGGGGAATTAGTTCATGTTGGATGAACTAAACCCATACAAAACTGCAGAGAAAGCTGCGGCCATTGTTTGCATTTCTAGAAGCCGCAATTCGTCGAACACTTGAAAGGCAAAATGAAAGCTAAAGGAAAAACTACTGAAATCCTAAGCTAGTGCTCATTGTTTGCATATCGTTTCCACCGTGGAGAATGCCTCAGAAGGCCCCAGAAGAAAAGTCAAAGAGTGCGGCTGGACTCCAAGACCCTAAAGCTCCCCAGGTTCTTGTGCCTGCCATGCGCAGGATTCAACATAGATGAAGAAAAGTCAACACAAAGCTAACAAAATGCTTTTCTCTTATCATCCGTGAGTTTCTAAAGCTAAGAGTAGGTCCCAGCCAAAAGTTAAGAATTTCTCCTAAGCTAAAAATGAAAAAACTAAGAGGACCAGCCAGCCCTCTGCTGTGCGGCGGTTCCCCCTGCGGAGAGGACCTCCTGTGCGGCGCTCCCCCTCCGGAGACGAAGAAGAAGACCCCTGCCTTCAGCCCTTCGTTGCTCCTTTTAATGCTTTTGTCTTCGGCAATTACTAAAATGGGCATAAGCTTGCCTTTGCCAACAATGCCCCTGGGGTGAGCTCTGTGCCTTAGACTCCTTTTTTGTCAAATTAGCACTTGTTATCATATTTTCGTTCTACTCCCTGGAATATATGCAAAACACTAAAAATGAGTAGAATCCAGCAATTAATCCACATCGGGTCAAGTAATAGGGAAAATTAATAATAAAATAAATGATAAAATTACACCCTATCAATTCCCCCCACACCTAGACCATGCTTGTCCTCAAGCATGAGAACAGCAAATAAGTACCAATATTTGACAATGGTCATTGCTCCATCTACCATATTGCCAAAATACCAAGAAAAATATATATCAAGCATGGTGACAAGTCCAAGAAACATCATCTCGGTTAGCTTCTAAACCACAAACTCCTCTAATTTCAGGTTAACTAATCTAAGAAAAAGAATACGCATAACATTTATCAGCAAATGGTCCAACTATTAACCAAAATCTCAACATTAAGTCCATAATTCGGCAAGCTGACTTTTATTACACACTAACACAACCTTCACTTTTTTTCACATTTTTTTTCTTCTTTTTTTTTTCTTTTCTCTTTTTTTTTCTCTTTTTTTTTTCTTTTTTCAATAGTAACAAAAGACTTAGTCGCTAGCCATTGGAGCCTTTTGACGCGAACTCCAACATTGGCCAGATGAAAGAGCCCGGTTACTCAGCTTCTATCGCCACGTGACCACGTACTCATAGGAATGACTACCTTTTGACGCGAGAATCAACACTTTTAGGTGCAAATCCCCGGTTACTCAGTAGTAAAGACTAGCGGAGTACAGTCAACTCTTATTCACAGCTAATAACACAAAAACTCAATATAAAACAAAAATCAAAAGAAAATTTGCATCAGCTAGCCTCATTTTCAAACATGGAGAACTAAAGTTAATAATCGGACCAATTCACATGAAAATGCCAATAATCATTCCCTATGCCTAGGAAAGTTAACCAAAAATTATAAGAGTAAAACAATCATCGATATTCACCAAAGAGATGTTTTTGGATTCAACCACATTAACTTGATACCCTTTTATTATTAAAATTGGCAATAGTAGAAATAGAGGCAATAATCCAACATCAAACCTTGGCATGCACTTACGAGCCAATCACTAAAAAGAAAAAAAAAATGAATGAAAGACACTAGCACCATAACTGCTCCCCCCACACCTAAATCCTACATTGTCCTCAATGGAGGTAATAAAGTAATGAAAGCGAAGAGAACAATGAAACTTCCCTGTTGAACAGCTAAGGCATAGGAGGGAACAGTGGAGGCCATCGATGGGGGAGGCGCAGAAGAAGAGGGCTCGGGTCTTACCATTTTCTCCAAATGTCATTTCAATCAACAAGAGACAAAAATTGCCCACAGGTAATGTAAACAGCAAATTCAAAGCAATAACAATTTAATAGCCACCGATGCCTCCCAAATATCAATAGAAAGCGACACCACTCGCCCACTCAAAATCTCTCTAAATATCTCCAATTGTACAAGAACAACTCAGTCACACATGCCTAGCAGTCAATCAAGTATCCAACCAAGTAGAACTGACACATGCAAGGGGAAATATTCCAACCAGTATCATTAGTGCACAAAAGATGAATAAATTATAAGCCAAACACCTCAACCAGTACCACTGGTGCACATGCAGAAAAGAAGTAAATCACGCGGCCAAACCAAACAGTAAAATGCACACCTAAGGCACCCAAAGGCCGTAAAGGTACCCCAATGAACTAAGTAATTGAGATGAACAAGACAAAATACTCCCACACAAGGCAATTAGAGGCAACTCACTTCAATAAGCAAATGCAAAGTCACATTCATATCCTAATTCAGCAAATGGACGCAGAAAAGGACCCACCATACCCGAGCACAGCTCCCAACAATGCAACAAAACAACAACTCGAACCACGAAGAGCGGTGCTAGTGGCTAATCAAAATAACAAATTCAGCAATTGGACACAACTCCACCCAAAATCTCAACAACTGTCTCCAATTGGACAGTCAATTACATAGTTCAACCGACTAAAAACAGCAAATGACCCAAGAGAGGGGGAATTCCAGCAATCACAATGCAGAATTCGGGCAACACTTTAAGCACAAGAGCCCAGTAGTCAATTAGGCAGTCAAGCACTTAAGATTAAGAAATTTGAGGCCAACTACTGCTACCAGTACCACTGGTAAATGCTCAAGGAAAAAGTAAATCAAATGGCCAACCAAAGCCACTAAAAAATACAAACAGCACCAGACAATACTCCAAGAGCCTAAACAACCGGCAGTTATATCAGACTAGGCAAATCAGCTGCAGGACATAACCCAACCCACTGGCTCCAGTAACACAGATGCAATCCAAACAAATTTACTCAATGAAATCGCAATCATCAAAATCCCATCAACATCAAGAAATTGGAATCGGGGACCAGAAAATTAATAAAGAAAAACCTGGCACCAGGGAGGTTGGGCTGTTGGCGTGCGGCGGTGGTTGAAAGGGTGGCAAGCTGGTGGTGCTCGCGTGGTGGTGGCAGGCGAGGGAGGCGTGAGGTGAGAGCGTGTGCAGCGAGGTGGAGGCTGCTGCTGCGGAGGTGGCGTGCGGTTGAGCGAGGGAGATGAGCACGGAGCTGTGGTGGCTACGAGCGAGAGGCTATGGCCGGTGGTCGGCGGACAGTAGCGGGGGCAGCGGAGCTCAGCAGAGCTAGAGGAAGATGGAAGGAAGCCGCGCAGTGGGCGGCGGATCGAGCTTCAGCGGCGAACAAGCTGGAGTGGAGGCGGCGTGGGTTGCTCGGCCACGGTCTCGTGAAGAGAGAGAGAGAGAGAGATGGGAGGGGCGCGCCTCGTGCGTTGAAGCGGCAGTGGCTGCGCAGAGGGCAGCAGCTTGCGATGGCGCGCGATGGTAGCTCGCGGTGAAGATGGTGGCGGCGCGACTGTGGAGACCGAGGAGGAAGAGAGCCACGTAGTGGTGGCGCGCGGCGAAGAGATTCGGGCAACAGAGAGGGAGCAGGGGAGGAAGAAAGAAGAAGAAGAAAGAAAGAAAAAAGAAAGAAAAGAAAGAAAAGGAAAGAAAGAAAAAAGAAATTTTTTTTTTTTTTAGTGAGAAATATTTGCTACGGTTGAAATTTTTTTTTTTTTTTTTTTTTTAATCCTTACCTTTCCCGTGAACTTGACGCGGGCACGTCAAGAGAGCAAGAGAGCTCCCAGAAGTTTCAGAAGTTTCTGATCGTGAGCCTCCTGCACATCACCACGCGGGCACGTCATGAGGGCAAGAGAGCTCCCAGAAGTTTCAGAACTTTCTGATCGGGAGCGTCCTGCACATCACCACGCGGGCGCGTCATGACTGAAGGGCACCTCTAAATCAGAAAAAACGAAAATTAACACCCAAAATCAGTCAAATTCAAGGAAGACAGATTTAAACTAACAAATAAAATCAAACAAACAACTAAAAGAAATTGGGTTGCCTCCCAATGAGCGCCTTTCTTTAATGTCTTTGGCTAGACATTATCATGTTTTGCTCATGGAGGATAAAATCTTGTGGCTCGCTTCAATGCTTCATCTTCAACGTGATCCTGGTAACCCTCATAGATGGAGTAATTCTTGGGCACACGAGTTACGGGCTTCCATGGACTAGTAAATGGTGCTAAACAAGTCAACAATGATCTGCATTCTCCACTCACTTCTCCATCACACGCATTCATTGGTTCAAGATATTTTGCCATCTCCACTCTTAACTTATTCCTGTCATGAAATTTTAAATTTTCTGGTATAATAAAATCAATTTCAGTAACAGGAGTTGAAGAATAGGAGTCAGGAAAATATTGATTAAGGAGTGGAGAAGATGTCACCGCATTTGGAGATTGTTCACTGGAATCGTTCACTTGAATGAGTTGATCCTGGAGTCTCATTTCTTGCACTTCAGCTTCCTTTTCAACTGCATCTTTAAATCCGTTTTCTTGAAACTCTTGCAGTTCCATGTCATTTGGCCGGACAATTGCACTCTCATCTTCCTCAAGATTGATATTGGTTTGTGCGGGCAATTCTTCCATTTGAGAAGCCAATCGATCTATCCTGGATGTCAATTGACGCATTTGATCCGCCAGGTCGCGAAGGCTCGCTTGTGTCTTCTGATGATATCGATTTAGGCTCGCTTGTGTCTCCTGATGAAATCGATTTGAATTAGCAATTAGTAAACCTATCGTTTCTTCAAGAGACATACCTGACACGGAGGATGATTGCTGAGACTCTTGCTGTTGAAAATCCATTGGCCCCGTCGCATAATTAAAATTGAAATTATCCCACCATTCTTGATCATACCCGTTTGAATAAGGGTCATACTGCGTTTGATATTGGGGTGGAAAATCTCCAAAATTATTGAGTGGGACACTCAGATTATCTTGATATTCGGGGCAGTTTTCAGGTAGCATTCCACCCTCTCTTTCCAATATGTCCAAACTGCAGGAGCTAGCTTTGGACCTGAATTCCCCAGAAGGAAGCATTCCAAGGGAAATAGGTAATCTTCGTTTTTTAACCTTGCTAAACGAGCAAGCTAACCAGCTTGCAGGTCCTATACCACACAGTATCTTCAACCTTTTTTCGTTGCAGTATATCGCATTGACAGGCAATCACCTATCTGGAAATCTTCCAGAAGATGTATGTTTTAATCTTCCAGAGCTTAAAGGCTTTATCTTTCCAAAAATGCATTATATGGCCTAATCCCCCTAGGCTTAGAAAAATGTACACAACTTCAAGTTCTATCCTTGTCTTTAAATGGATTTTTTGGAGGCATACCAAGAGAACTTGGGAACTTAACTCAGCTAACGCAGTTATTACTTGGTACCAACAATTTGGAAGGTACATTTCCTTCCCTAAAAGGAAACTGACGTCTGTTGTGTACTTAATTGTTGTTTTCTGTATTTTTTTAAATATTTTTTGACAAGAAAAATGAAGATCAGTTATGGCTGAATAGTTCAACTAATCACAATTAGAATGTGCCCATTAGTTTCCACGAATATTTTGAACTTGATCCGGGTATTTGGTCTGTGCCATAGTCTTTAATAATTCTTTTTGTGCATTGTGACAATCGTGTAGGTTCAGTCCCAAATGAGATTGGGAATCTTCGCAGATTGGAAGTATTTGGAATCCATGACAGCAGGTTAAGTGGTTCCATTCCCAAAAGTATCTTTAACATTTCAACACTGCAACTGTTTTCAGGAGCTCAGAATCTTCTATCAGGAGGTCTTCCTTTCAACATCGGTCAAGGGGTGCCAAATCTTGAAGCCCTTTACTTAGGAAATAATGCTCTTAGTGGAAATATCCCATATTCTATCTCAAATGCATCAGAAGTTACTATATTAGACCTTTCTTATAACAGTTCGGTGGTCCAATACCCAATTCACTTGGAAATTTAGGATCCCTTGAAATAGTGAGCCTACGTGACAACAGTTTGGTGGTTGAATCTTCATCTTCAGAATTCAGGTTCCTCGCTTCTTTGACAAAATGCAGAAATCTAGCAAAAATTTATATCGGCGAGAATCCTTTAAACGGTATACTTCCAGCTTCCATTGGTAACTTGACCTCTCTCATGATATTTGATGCAATCAAATGTAAAATCAGTGGCTATATTCCAGAAGAAATTGGAAACTTAAGTAAACTTGTCGATCTAAGTTTAACTGACAATGACTTGACCGGATTCATACCCAAGACGGCTGAAGGTTTACAAAGCCTCCAGAGGTTGCACTTTAGCAGCAAGAAGATAAGTGGATCACTCCCAGACAACATCTGCAATTTGCAAAACCTTGGTGATCTGAATTTGACAGGGAGTCAAATTTCTGGTCCTGTTCCATCCTGCATAGGAAACATTACTTCCCTGAGAAATCTTTACCTAGGTTCCAACAATTTCAGCTCCAGTTTACCATCTAGCTTATGGGGGTTGAAAGATCTTCTGAGATTTGATGCATCCTCGAACATGTTACTTGGCCATGTACCTCCTGAAATTGGAAATCTGAAAGCTGCAATATTGATTGATCTCTCCAAAAATAACTTTTCTGGAATAATGCTATCTCTATAGATGGTTTGCAGAACCTGATTAATCTTTCCTTAGCCCAAAATGAACTAGAGAAGCCTATTCCACCGTCATTTGGCCAGTTGCTAAGTTTGGAGTCACTGGATTTGTCACCTAATGCTGCACTATGTTGTGCTGCTCAATTTCAAATGCCCCATGCCCTATTGTTCCTCCCCACAGAAGAAAGAAAAGTTTGCTTTTGGTCGCGTTTATTCTTCTTGGGATTTCCTCCCTAGTTCTTGTATCTGCTATGGGATATTTTTGATACGATGGAAAATGAGAAGGCGAACTACACTTCAAACTGTGCCAATTCCTTCAATAAATCATGGAACGAACTCCTACAATGAACTTGAGAAAATAACGCAGGGATTCAGTAAGAGCAACTTGCTTGGCATTGGGAGCTATAGCTTGGTTTACAAAGGTATTCTCAGAGATGGACTGTTTCGGCTGTAAATGTGTTCAACCTGAAACTAGGAGAAGCTCTTAAAACTTTTGAAACAGAATGTGAAGTATTAGGCCATCTTTGCCACCGGAACCTATCCAAAGTCATTACTAGTTGCTCCACCCGACATGAAGTTTGGAGCAGTGGTGATGGAATACATGCAAAATGGAAGCCTCCAAAAATGGTTATATTTGGAAGACCACTTCCTAGACATCTTGCAAAGGCTAGATATAATGATAGATGTAGCTTCTGCATTGGATTATCTTCACAACGGTTATGATGCACCAGTGGTGCATTGCGATATGACGCCTAGCAACGTCCTGCTTGATGAAGATATGGTAGTGCATGTCTATGATTTGGTACTGCCAAATTATTAGGTGCAGAACCAGATGGAACTGCACATGCAAAAACTCTGGCCACAATGGGTTATATGGCACCAGGTAATACCTTCCCTCACTTCCAACTTCCCATTGCCTTCTCAGCTTTGAAAAATCTTTCGCTGTCTTCCATAGGTTTAGCATTATTCCTGGGCTATAAGGTTATAAATTGTCTGAAGAAAACTCGAAATCATTAATGCAGAGTTTGGATTAGAAGGACTGATTTCCACCAAATGTGATGTTTATAGCTATGGAATCATGTTGATGGAAACTTTCACCAGAAGGGGGCCACCTAGTGATGACATTTTTTCTGGAGACATGGCCCTCAGGCATTGGATTAAGTCATCATTTCCAAGTGCAATTATGCAGGTTGTAGACTCCAATTTGCTGAAACCAGAAGATGCTGGAGTGTGTGATATATATGATGAAGCTAGCATTGGCCTGCACTAACATGCAAGATGTCGTTTCTGCGCTCAAAAAAATAAGAATCCAGTTTAAAAGAAGTTGTGGTAGGAGTTTGAAGTAGGAAAAATTGTTGCATCCTGAGGTATCTTCCATGCCACAGACAATTCCACGCACTAATGAAGCTTTTCTAGAAACATTTTGACAGTGACTGATTTTGCATACTTTCATTCCTTTTTGTAATTTTTTTTTCCATTGAGTACTAGTTTCAAAGTTAGTTTTCATAGATCAATCTAAAGAGGGTTGGAGGGCGAATTTTGAGATATTGCATTGTAACTTCTACAATTTTATAAAGGGAACTGATATTCGCATTTTTTAATTAGATTCTGTCACTCCAATTCCTTCAATAAATAATATGCCCTCAACTAGAGGCTAATTAGGGAGTGCAAATATCAATTCCGTCATATGAGAAATTACTTTAACTCCTTATCTTGCCTCAGCTCTAGAAATTTTTATCCCCCACCCCTCTCCTGACTTTTCCATCACAAATTATAGTTCTTTCTACTCTTCATATTTATTTTTGATTGAATTATATGGTTCTTTGTGATATTACTTTGTCCATATGTAAGATTAATTTCCTCTTTTAACCATGCATATCATTATGCCAAAACCTTTTTACTTTTTGTCCTTTGTGCTTGGATACAATTGATGCAATTATTTTTCCACTTGTAGTAATTATAACAGGGGCTTTTACGTCTTAATCAACATTCTTCTTAGTTTAGTGGTCAGGAGACGCTGTACATCAGTATCAATCACCCAATACCAATTAATATGGGTTAATTTCAGAAACCTCCCTTGAGGTTTTTGACAATTTCACTCGGCTCCCTCCAGGTTTAGAAAATTACATTGACGTCCCTTGGAGTAGTAAAATGACTACAATGTCCTTTACTTGACAAGTAATTCACACCATATAAAAAAACAAATCCTATAGAAAAGGAAAAGATGCCGCTACAAACCTACAACATGTCTTTCTCTTTACTCATGCCTCAACCACCAACCCTTATCTCCTTATTTCTCTCTCTTATTCTCTTCTATCTCTTATCTCATTCTTCCCATAATCCCACACTATCAATCACCATTGCTTCCCGGCCACCAACCACACCACCATGCAAACCTATCAGAATAGTGTTTATTTTCAATCTTATTTTCTCTTTCCTTTTTATTATACTATTAGCCCCATTAGTTTTTTCAATTCTTATTATCCTTCACTCATAATAGAGAACTGAAATTGCCAAAATCACAAATTAAGCAAGCGGATTTCCTTTGTTAAACTAGATGTAGATGAAGAAGATAATAGTGATAAATGAAAAAAATTGAAGTTGATTGCTGAGAGGATGGATGAGGGTATGCTATCATATCTATTGTGCACAAAAATATTAACATCTTCATGTTGATATTTTTTTTATTTGCAATTTTTTGGTGTTGGTTTGCATACAGACTAATGGCTCTCTGTTTCTAGGCATGGCTAGAGTTTAGGGTTGCTCTTAGTGTTCGTATAAGTAGTTGAGGGCTAGCTTTTTTTTATTAGGTAGGTTGCGGACATTTGGTTCAAAGTAAGCTTTTAGGAGCACTTGAGGTGGTGGTATCTTGGTTTATAGTTGATTTGTAATGAAAGGGGCAAAATTAGGGATTTTGGGGCTGCAAAAATTGGTGGAATATAGGAATCAAAATTAGGGCTACCAAAGTTGACCAAGTTTGCTTCATCAATTTGGTAATGTCAAACATGATGAATTTGGTAAGGTTCTAATTTTCAAGCAAGGCGAAGAATTGATGAGTAAAAATTTTTGCTTTACCTTTTCTATATATACCATATAATTTTACAAAAGGGTACTCTAGGATATTTGAAGGTAGTTTTGGTCTATTGGGTCTAGATTGTTACTAAAATAGTAAAAAGAAGGGAGGTTAGGAGAATTTTCTACACTTAAGGGGAGCTGAGTGAAATTGTCAGAAACCTCAGGGGAGGTTTCTGAAATTATCCCAATTAATATCGATGGACCATTTTTTGTCTTGTCTAATAAATGTTAGAAAAGAAGTGGTCCACCACATTATTTAGTGGGTTTTGATTGATGTTAGTATTTTGCCACATGGTGGTGTAGATGATTTAGCTAATATTTTTCTCCTTTATATTCTTGATTGTCTAAAGTTTTTGCTTTTCCTAAAAAACTATAATCAATTCACTTCAATATTTAGCCTTTAGTGATAACTGTATAAAAATTTGTACATCTAATACCTAAATTAATTTTAAATTCTCATGGAGGTCCCTCAAGTTTTATTTTAAAATTTCTTAATTTGGATCCTAAACTAAATTGTCATAGTCTCATGGAAATCCCTCAAACTTTATTGTAAACTCCATTGTCTCAAAACATTTTTCTTTATACCAAAGTAGTCCTACTGCTAGTTGATGTATCAATTAAAACTTCTGTTTTAATAATTTAAGAACATTGCTAGTTGTTACCTAAAGATTAGCCCTCTATATTATACTACCATGCCATGCGCATGCATTTGTAGATTGTGTGGAACGGTGGACCAAAACTTCTTGCTAAGGATAAAGCCAAAAGTGACAAAGATTAGGTATTAATCCAACTAGCATTCTGCAATGGGAAAATTGCACAAAGGTACTTATACTTTTGAGTTTGTCCTTTTTTTTTTTTTACTTCCCCATGCATAACATAATGCATTTTGATTCTCAACATATCCAAAATAAAATAATTTTCTCCCAAAATGAACATATAATGTACATTTGTGCCTTTTCTTAGAAATTACATGTATTTTACATGACAACTTATTAGCACATAATGTATGCATGATCTTTTCTAGGGAAAAAAAATATAGGGATAATTTCAAAAACCTCCTTTGAAGTTCCTGGTTATTGTAACCACCTCTTCTGAGATTTGAAAAATTACTGAAACCTCCCTTAGAAAGTATTTCTTGTTAACAGTTGATGGTGTAAGCAAAAAAAATCCAATGAATATCCAACATTGCTCCTCTCTCATATGTAACACAAATTAAATGTTAAAAAGTCAACTGTCACCATTATCCTTTAGGTGAAAATTTCAAGTTAGTTTTTTGTAGGAAAAATTAAGCTATGTTTTGAAAGCATTCTTTTTGGCACTTTGGAAACATTTTTTGGTTAAGTAATTTTTTATGATACTTATTTTAACAAATACCTCCCTAATTGGTTGGTCAAAATTTTATACATTGATTAATAACTCTAGTTAGAAAAATTGAGAACAAAGCATAATGTACTAGATTAGATGACGATAGAGTTTTAGGATAAAGAAGTATTACCAAAAAAGAATTTTCACTTTTCTCATGTAAACTCATTTTCACTTAAAATTTGTGAAGGCTATCATAATTTTTTCATGGCATCAACGGAGGTAAGTGTAAATTTTCAAACCAAGAGGAGGTGGTCACAATCGTCAAAAGCCTCAAGAAAGGTTTTTGAAATTATCCCAAAAAAAAAAAAAAAGACTGGTAAATATGGGACCAAACTTAATGTAGCAGTACGCCTGGGGTATGGATTCCAATGTTATAAGTTATCACCGGCATTGACCATACACAATAAGACTGGCAGCTTATGAAGCACGAAACAGAAAACTTTGACATCACAATGAAAACGAAGCATAACAAGTTGAAAGACATTTGATAACTCAATGATTGTGTGCAAAGAGGACCAACAGCTACCTTATAAATATTAATCGGATTAAGATGACCTCATGGCTTTGGTTTTAAGATTCCTGTCCATTTGTTAAAAGCCAAATGCTTTATCATGATTATACCCTGGTAAACTTGTTTACTATCAACTTGTGCAGCCTCAGTGGACTGAGATTGGAGGAGGGATATGATCACTGATTTTTTGGAGAACTAGAAGTGCAGAACAACGCAGCTTGTACACTTTTAGAAGCAAAATGGTGAAATATATTGTCTTTAAGCATACCTGCAAAGTTGCATATGGTTAAAACCAATCTGTTTTAGATGGTACTTCTCATAGAAATTAGTGTACCCTTATATATTTTGTAATATTTCTTATGAGATTCAGTATATAAAAATATTATTCTGGCACATAACAAAGTGATATAAATAAACACTGGATTATGTAACAAATACAACTGCATTCAACTGAACCGTGCCTGCCTGTGGACATGTATTTTGATTTTTTATGCTTTAATCTACTTGTCTACGTAGTTATGGATGAATTCGCCTCTTTCGCCTCAAATTCGTGGGAAATTTGGTGAAAACATTAACATGCATGGTCTCTTTCAATGCCAATGCATAAGTTTTGTTAAAAGAGTTTGAAGATTAAACTTTATCCAAAGGTTGCTTCTTTAATGTACGTACCTCTGCAGGCGGCCGCCCTTCGGGGAGGGGTGGGGGCCTGTGGTGGGCGGGATGGGGAAGCAATCTTGTTTCAAGAATGGACTTTCACTACAAAGGACAAAGCTGATGAGCTAAATATCCACGAAACAAATCCCAGAAAAGCAAATTTATTATACTACAAGACAATAAAGAATGACTATTGATTCAGAGTTTCTTCATTTCCCATTCATATTTCTGTCATGCCCACTTTGTTAGGTTTAGAGAAACCGCACATTCCAACAAAAAATCTTCAATGGGTAGAGCCAGAATCCTCTTGTTTGCTGCATTCTTGTCTGTTCATTGTGTTACATCTGCTTTAACAAATACCACTGATCAATCTGCACTTCTGGTGTTAAAATCGCATATTTCTTTTAGCTCTAACAATGTTTTCCTAGAGAAAAACTGGTCTGCAGCATCATCTGTCTGCAGCTGGATTGGTGTCACTTGCGGTTCAAGGCATTCCAGAGTCACATCCCTGGATATTTCCAACATGGGCCTCACTGGAAGCATCCCGCAGACCTGGGAAACCTCTCTTTTCTCAGTTATCTTGATCTCAGTAACAACAGTTTTTCGGGAAATCTGCCTGGACAGCTAGCTTTGTTGCGCAGGTTGAAGCTTCTTGATTTAAGGCGTAACAATTTTAGTGGGAAGATTCCACCATCTGTCTTCAGTTCCTTGCCTGAACTTCAACTCTTGCACCTCTCGCGTAACAGCTTTTCAGGTAGCATACCAGCCTCACTCTCTAATCTAACTAAAATTGAGGAGCTAGCCTTGAACAGGAATTTCCTACAGGGGAGCATTCCAGAAGAAATAGGTGATCTTCATTCCTTAACATTTTTAAACCTGGAAGGTAACCAGTTTACAGGTCCCATACCACCACATGTGTTCAATCTTTCCTTGCTGCAAATC